CTATGGTTGATGTCACTCTGCCTATAACACTAGCCGCTGAGTGGCTTCTGGCGTGGCTCAAGAATGAGTCCCAAGGCACAACGGGACAAGTGAATCCCAAACCGCGATCGGTGAGCGTCCCTCTATCATTGGAATAGCCAGTCCCGATTAGCCCACAAAAAGAGCATTTCGAGTCGTATTCACTCTTTCGAGAACGGTCTCTAACCCTGCAGACACCGTTTCATAAACATTTGTCAATAAAAACAAAACAGATGGGAATGACCACATTTCATGAGTCTACTGATCGCACTTCGTGCCGACACCAAACCAGATCGATTGACTTCACTCTCACATGACCGGGCAAGCTGATGGTGCATGAACTCGAGGCCTAGATGGGAGAGTAGGCACATTTACACGCAAATGAACCAGAACCCGAATGGAGGGTCATCGCTGCCTCGGGCTAGGTCATGGCCGTCTGAAGACAGCCAATGGGTGACAATTTAAGTATTTTTGTTGCTGTTTCGCCCTTGCATGTGTAGACTTGATTAGTGGCTGCCAGAGCAGTGCTTAATGTTAACTGGAATGCTCATATTCCCTTCTGCAGGTAGACCAGATCGGAGAATGCGACCCGTACAGGACCGTATATAATTTTCCCTACACTATGCAGGCTTATTTATGATGATGGTGTGGACACACCCGATTTTCAGATCAATTGCCACGCCAAATTTTTCGCGCAACCACCAGCTCTCTTTTGTTGGATTGAGAGACTGTAGACTGCATACTGTCGAGGCTGAGACCTATCAGTACACTACCAATCGTACCAAAATTCAACTAAACTGCACTCCAGCCAGCTTGTCGGTTGAGTGAGAAGTAAGACAAATGAACTTCTGAACACGAAAATCAACGCGCCCGTTTATGAGGGTCTCAGGAGTTTCTTGAGACCCATACAGCGTGACGCCTGTGTGTTAGGTGGCTTCTTATAACAAGGGTAGGTGGATGTTTGGCGCGCGAAGGATACAAAACGCCAACGAAGGACATAGATATGCAGTTTACGAAGAGCTCTAATTGGAGCAGAGTCAATTTTTTAAAGTGTTGCTAAAGCAGATGCTGCTACGATATAGGCACCCATGTAGTTGCCAAGATTGAGACTAGGTTTGGGGGCATAATATCTCTTAGTACAACGACCATCGACAGGGTTGTTGCTAAGTCACCGAACATTCGTACAGCATATCTCCGCCTCAGGTATTTCAGATGTAAATGAACTGTACGCCTGACGAGTGAATAAGGTGCTTAGAACAACTACTTCTCGGAAAGGAAGATGAATGTGAAACCCTTCACGACAGATGCCGAATAGAGGGCTGTTTCCACTTCCTTACATACGCTTGCGAGCGACACAAGCGTTAACTGGCCTGAATGGTATTTCGAAGACGAATAAGCACACTAAATAAAATAAATAACTTGTTTTATTGAAGACCCTTGAGGGTCCTGTCATTGCGCATACCGTGAATACTATGCCTCAAGGGAGGTCCTTATTCAGACAGGTTTCGAGGTCCATGCTGGGTTCAATAGAGCGGTTCTTGACATGAAACAGGTAGGAGCTATAATTACAGTATCTGGATTATCTCATGAAATATTAGCCGGAATCCTAAAATGTGTGGATTGCGTAGATGAGACTGTCATATTATCGCGCAGCACATTCTTAAGATACACATTCCAGTCACCTCGGGATGCCGGTTTTTGAACGAGTTTCTCTCCGGCCCTCTGCGAAGTCCCAATCGGGATAAAATGATCGTATGAATTCTTCAATTGAATGGTGGTACCCTTGTTAATTCATGTATGATTTGTAGAAAACCTGCATATGGACCTATTGGGTAGGAAATCGCCTCCACCAGCCGTCCATTGCGAAAAAATAGTAGCACTTTCAAACAGGCATGAAATCAGCAGTCTATAAAAATTGGTTTCTTTAAGGATTGCATCCCTTGCAGCTTAATGTGGGGGAAGCAGAGCAAACAATTCGTGTCATGATGATGGAGGCGAGTACAAGTTGACTGTTCAAAATTTACTCCCGTAGGTCGGACAACTGGACATCTTACTGAGGGCCTTACAAGCACTGAGCTGCTTGACCTGGCCAACATACGATCCAGCTCAATTTGGGGACTAGCCTGGTCCTGATAATGAATGCTGGCCATGAAGCGGACGCTAACGGAGCCTGCTGAGTTGCAGAGATAGGATGAGGGCTAACCACTCGAAGCTACACCATAGACGCACGCTCTCCATTACGGCGGATGGATTTGACGACTGGGTCATGATCACAGAAGGCATTCGTTTGGGTTCCCACACTGCAGTATTTGGGACCAATGCTTATGGTCTCTCAGGCAGTGTTTTGCAAGCGTCGACCTGCGGTGAGGCAGTTAATATCAGTTCATGCCTGTGCCCCACCCCAGCCCATAGCCTGACTCACAATCTCTACTTGTTCTTCTGTGGTGAGGTACCGGACTACTTTACCTTTGGCAATTTAGTCCCGTTTTCATTGACCGGATTGCTTGTTTGAATGTGACGGAAAACAACACATCTGTACAACCCGCCTTGCGGGCCTGCTTTGCTGTCGCGCTCTATTGTCAGGTTACTTAACGTTCAGAATCTCTATATTGTTCACTGCTCATTTTTACTTGCTGCCTTTAAGGCTAGGGGCTCGTGAGATATAACTCGTAAGTTCGTGAGAACATTACTATTTACGTCACTTCCAAACATCCAAACTTCTTCAGGTATCAGTTTAGAGATGACCACTGCTTGCCAAAGGTCCAATAATTAATGATTAAAAATGAGTTTCCCTACGTTTGGTGCTTTTTTTTATTTGTGCAACCACAATGTTCTAACTGTCAAAAGGGGGCATCAGAGAAGACTGCCTGTTCACCAACTTCATCGGCCTCACTAACCACGGAAGCCTTTTAAATCTGGTGACGGGAACTACGCTACTAGAGAGAGGAAGTCGCTTTGTTTTGAAATCATAAATTCAAAATTTTCAGCAAAAAATGGCTCCATTCACTATGGGCAGTAAATAAGTTAATAAACTATTCCAGAGTCAAAGTGTAACACAAAAGAAACGATTATTATGAGGATAGGTCAAGTCTTAGCTTCTGTATTTCTATCTATTCGCACGTAAGATAGCGCGCCAGGGATGGCAATACAAAAGCTCGAAAAGCCGATGTGCAAAAAGACATAAGTCAGAAGCTGCGGCGCATCGGGCGGGAAAACTTCGCAGAAATAAGTACGCACAGTGCCGGTGGGAAATATCGACATGTGACACAAATTGCTGGTGGCCAGGCAAGTCACAAAACACTACTTGTGAAAATACCGAGTGCTTCACTGATTTTTAAAGCTGACCTCGTTTGAAGTTAGGCAGATGGTTGTGACCCTGCAGTGTACTGCTCACTAGCTGTTCGGAAGCTAAATCATTCAGTTGACCGCTTATAGTCCGCAATTCGTCGCAACCAAAATGTTTTGCTGGATGCTGATACTCGTCACGTGAGTTTTCGTGTGACGACCAGTACAGTTGAGCACGAGCTTTAACATGCGTTATCCCTGTGACAGGTTAGGCAACTATCCCAACTATCAAGAACTGGGTTTACTTGAAATTATGGGATAACAATGGGCACGAGAGTTTTTGTGGAAAAGATGGCTCCAGTTTCGTCGATCGGCTTTGAAAAATAAGCAGACTTCGAAAACCCGAACTTAGAGACAATATGGGCAAAAATTCTTTTCATTCAGTAATGTCTGACTTAAAGCAATTTTTGCGAAAACGGGCTGCGAACTGCCAAAGAACACATAGACAGGATCAATGTTCCAAAAACAAGAAGCACAGGCCGAAGGACATGGTGGATTGCCGGAAACGTAAAAGCACCGCTCTTACCCCTATTAGATCATTAGGCAGTAGCAAAACGAGAGTAATTCAGAAAATCTGTGAGGAATGTAAACCAAATTCGTCGTCGTATAGCCAAACCTCTAGCAAACTGCGAAGGGGCTTTTCTCGCAAAAGCCTTCCTGGCGTCGATGAAAACTGCATGCTCACCGATTACAAATTTCACCTGCAAGACAGAGGCTGTCTGCGTCCGAGTTCTAACCACGATTCCGCCGCATCTAATTTCGTTCCTCCTGTGATTTGTACTGTGGTCCTTATTCACAAGCAAACAATTCGAAATCGTTCGCTCTTATAAAAGACAAAATAGAAAAGTCCTCAATTTTCATCACCCCGAGGACGAAAACGAGATGTACCACAGAAATAGTTGTGTAGAAACGGTATTTCGTAGTATATCCTTGTCGAAGACGGGAAGATTCAATAACGAGTATGACTCAGGTTGTAGGTGAAGAATAGTAAGGAGGATCTACTAAGCATCAGTCCCATTCTTCACATACACGATTCTATCGTCTTGCAGTAGCAAGATTAAACAAAAGCAACTTGGATCGAGTGGCAAATCGGGCATCCCAGTACGACACACGCACGCCATCACCCGTCGCCATTTCGATCATTCTGAGCCAGAAAGCACAAACCGGTGTAACTTTGAGCGTATTCGTTAAATGTCAAAAAACGCGTATCCAGTATTTAAAAGGCCATTCTCAGCAAAACAAATTCGGCGCGGTGTTTCCCAACCTTCCAAGTTTTTCGGGGGACGTTGAAGACTTAGGGACGGTCAATGAGATCTTAGTAGCAGCTACTTCCAATTTGGGGATGTCAGAGTAAATTCGAATGTGGTTGAATGAAGGTAGATTAGTAATCACACGTTACGGCACTCCCTCCCCCCACCAGCAAATAAACCATGTTTAACGACTGTACGACTTAATAATATTAACCGTGCATGTTTTAAACTGAGGGAAAACATTTTCCAGGTGCCCTGTTTCTACTTTACGCATATATTTTGAGCTTAGTTTGGAAAGGTTGGAATGGCATGAGGATACAAAACACATTAAAGTATGAAACAACAGTTAGAAGATGAACGACACAATGCACAGTACAAACTGTGAAATCAAAAAACACATGCTTTCAAACTTGTGTTGTTCATCCAAAGTTCATCAGCCGAAAACTCCAGTTTGTTGCATGGCGCTAAAGGTGCCACGAAATAGTTGCGAAATCAACGAAAAACAAACTGACTGCCGTTGAAATGAAAGTCGTGGCTGGTGAAAAACTTGACACTATAGACGAATACACATTCTCCCCGCCGTTAGCGTATACGTTTGTAGCAGTGAAATGATAGTCTGGCTAAATGTTGTCTGCGAGTCAAAAGTGTCCTAGGGAAAGTCTCTATCTGTCAGGAAGAACGGATAGCGTCTCACTCTTCCTCTGGTGAGTGAATGAACACATCCAACTTGGCTGGTATATTCATCACGCCGTGTGCAGTCAAGACCGACAGAAACAACCGATATGTTGGAAGCAACTTGACTAACGGGGACCAAATGTACGGTATGAACAAAATACTCATAAGATATGCATGGTTGCATTAGCTCTCCCTATAAAATTGTCTTATTTTTCATTGCCCGCCTGGCGAAGCTCTGCGATCAGCAATGAGACAACTTTGACCACAGATTTCAGAGGCCAACCCCGAACTAACTGACATTCTCTGTTGCCCGCCACCATCACAGAACCAGTACACAAACTGGCCTCATGATTACAGGTATAAAGTTGGACTCGTCGTCCCACGCAGACTTCCAAGAAATCAACTACGGCAGACTATAAAGTGCCAATTTATAATTCCTATCGAATCTATATCTTTCAATGGTAGTGTAAGACAGAAAAGAAATTTGAATCTAGGCTAATATAAGACGCTTAGGACAACATTTAACTGGGAAAACAACCACGGATTCCTAAGGAGATTAACTTACTTGAAGTAAGTGCACCGTGAGCAAAGCCGGAGAAGAAGAGAGTGGCACAGAGCGCGGGAAGGTCGATGCACCACGCAACCGCAAAAATCGTAATAGCGCCCAGTACTTGGGTGACAGAAATGGTGCAGAGCCTGAGCGACACAAACCGATCAGCCAGGACAGCTCCAAGGAGGGAGCCAAAGAACATGCCCACCTCGCGGACAGACAAAGCCCGACCGATCTCTTCATAGCTGGCCGGGATATCATGCATCAGAGTGGTGAGTGAGGGTCCGAGAACCTCGGCATAAAGGCCCTTAATGAAATATTAAAATGCAAACGATAGAATACTGACATATTGGTGGACAAAATCAATCAGGCAAACTAAAATCGCTAATAAAACCCTGGGATGGGAGATAAAAAAACATGCCAAAACAGCAAATAAAGTTGAAAATTCCAGACGCCATAGATTCATAAGGTTATCCGCAAAGGATTTTTTACGTCAGAAAGGCGTCTCAAAAAATTGCCTAAGACTGATTTTTCTTTGCAGCAGTTATTGGGTGACCGGCGGTGAAGGGGAATTGGCAGAAGCAGGTTTTTGATCGGTGCCACAATTATTTTTAAGGCAACTAGCTGGAGCGTATATTCTCATGTTGACCACTGCAAAACTTAGAACCGATGACTACGTGAGTTTCGTCTTAGTTCTAGTTACCAAAACCCAATTCCATAAAAACGAAAGGCGCAGACGAACACAATACCGGATGGTCCGCAGGCGAAAAAAGAAATGCCGGGTCGGAATGTTTTTTGGGGCAAGCCTCAAAAAATAATGATCGAAATCCTGTTGGACGGATTCAATAAGGAGGCACCGGTAGTGCACAGGATTCTTCGACCTATTAACTATGCGTCAGGACTACCTAAGCTTTGTGAAATAACTTAATTTTTTTCGTTTCTTTGAGTGTTGACACACTGAAAGCTCGTCGGTTTTCCGTGTCTCATTACATAGTATTTGGGCAGCTTTATCGAACAATCTCAAATATCTTAGAGCAAATGCCTGAATGGAAAAATTTGCGAATGATGGAATGCTTCGTGGGTGAGGTCTCCTCCGCGTGGGGGCATGAAAAAGATAATTCTAATATTTAAGTCGGAGTTTGTTTAGTCAAATCACGTAACTACGAGAAAAAGCGTAATGAAACTCCCTTAAGTTCAATGAGTCAACAGGGCTGAACCTTTCGTGTATTTCCAAGTAACAGAAAGAAATGTTTACGCATTGGACTCAACGCATCACATATGCGGCGTAAGCACCTAACTGTCGTTTAAGGGGTCGAAAACCTAGGGAACGCAGTTAAGATACAAGGTTGGCGACAATCAACCGATTACAAATTACAAAAAAAATTGTCGAAATGTGGGTTGATTCTCTAATCCTCTTTTTAATTATAGCGTCCAAAAGCCTCCCTAAGAAGCTAGGGTATGAATGTGAATAACGTGGGCTTCGGAGCAAATCAGTTAAGGGCAAAGTGTAAAAGACAAATATATATATACATATATATATTAAAACAGATGCAGGAAAAACTTAAGTCATAATGGAGGACGCCACGCTCCTTAGAAAAAACGACAGCAAAAAGAATATGGTAATAAAGGCAATGGTAAATTCACGGATCTGGAGAGCAACCTACGAGACAAACCCAACTGTAGAACAGAGCTGCAGTTAGGAAATATTTCCTCGCTAGGCATGCCTCTGAAGATCGCGCAGACATGTGACCGGAAGAAGAAGTGGAAATTGCATCTTTAGATGAGAAGACTTGCAGCTCCTCCACACTGCCTTTAACGGCAATATCTTTGTATGCCGGCGGGCTGGAGGACATCTAATTATATTTAATAAAAGCGCATTATTAGTTTGTGGACGAAGAGAGTATGGCAAAATAGTCTGTACATACAAATTGCAATTGTAATTTATACGTACATCCCATATAAGAGATATTGATAACATAAGTATCCAGGGGTCTTTTTGGCGAAATCACAAACAAAGATAAATAAATAAGCTAACTAAGTCCAAACGGGATTCCTTTTTATTGACGTAAAGCAATTGTGAAAGTGAAATTAGGCACGTGTCCTGGCGATGGCACGATATTCCTAGGAATATCGTAAGAATGCGGAAACCGGGGTCGATAGAAAAATAACTAAAACCATCTAGCGAATAAGTGAAAATACGCAAAAATAGTTTATTTTCTGGAAACGCTAGCATAAAAGTTGAAATGTAAATAATCCCCTAACACTACACACCGTCAACCGGCAGACCAAAGATATAAGGGCTGATTCACAGTTTGTGGTTCGCTCGGTCTTTCTTGCTCCGGTTTGATTAAATACGGTAGCTCGTTTAAAGTAATGGCTTCAGGATGTAAATAAAACAATAAAAAGTCATGAGACACCTCAGCAGCAAAGCACTTTCCAACTCTAGCAAACAGACTGAGAGAGACAACCTTAGACAAACTGAGAGGAAACCTCATCCTTGTTTATTGCCCACCGATAGCTCCAATTCCAAGTATCTACTCGTTAGAAGGTAGTCTTAAGAGGGCTGACACTTTACAAAGCATGGCGAAAGAAAATCACCTACCAAAGGTTTGCACTTAGGTATTTTCTCCCAAAAATTGTGGGAGATTTTCCTTCTACAATCCAACTGGTATTGATATCCCAACTTCCATTTATTGCTGTGACTCGTTGTTCTTGTCTTGTTTTTCGCATATTGCTCTGTGCCATCTTGCGCCACCTTTTGACCGTAAAGCCTATGCCAGGACTATGGCTTTAATAATCAGATGCTGAAGCAAATTTTCACTCTCCAGCTATTTCTAGATTAATTTTCTTTGAACAGAATGTGTCCGCAACCAATATAAAACCTATCTTTGTGCCTCCAAAAGCTGCGAGGATAAAGGATGTGACTAAATTCACCGGAAATAGTTGGAGTCGTAAAGAAAATGGACACGAACTAGTTTGCTGTCAGATACGGATGCGAAGATCATTTGGGTAGGCTAGCATCCAAACGGAATTTCAAATGCCGTCGTGAAACACCTAACTCCATTTAGGATGTCGCTAAGTAATGCCGCCGGTGGCATAAGCCTTTCAATTCCAGGGTTACTTTCGACAAACTATCGTGGATTTTGGAACAAAACTCACAATAGGGAAAAATTTCTGTTAGAATAGACTGGAATAGGCTTATTATAGCGCCCCTTGGGCACTGTCAGCCTCCTTTGAACTCAGAAAAAAACCGTAAACAAACTCATTCATTTCGACTGCATGTTCAATTCATCTGTTTTGGGTGTCTGTTTGGCCAAAAGATCGCGAAGTGAAAGGTTGTTTTAAGTTAAGAAGACCTGAGTTCCAGGGCAAAATAATGGCAAGTTTTAAAAAAAACAATATGTACAATATAAAAATTGAAGTGTGCAGTTTGGTAGCTTTTGGGAGCATGAATAATATGACCTTCATTAACGACTGCGTGGACTACCTGGGATGCAGCGCCATCATGTTCGCTGACGATGTTAAGCTGTGGAGAACCATCAGATCTGACGCAGACAGGTGCGCGCTTCAAGAGAGTCTCAATCGCATGAACAGTTGGTCAGCTCGTTGTCTCTTTACTTTTAATGTGGACAAATGTGTGGTCCTGAGACTCCGCACCAGGAGGACCAGTAAGGAGGACGATTCCTTTCAACAAGTCCTGGGTGGTTAGCCCCTTTCGAGTGTTGTGGAACAGAAAGACCTCGGTGTCCTGATGACCTCCTTACTGAAACCATCATCACAGTTTCGACGAACGCCAACGTCAACTAAGTATTGAAGGTCACGCCATAAATGTGCCTGGGGTAATTAAGGATCTGGGCGTATCATACTTCAAGAGTCTCAATCTCTCGGAGCACTGTGCCTTAATAGTCTCCAAAGCAAGTAGAACGACCGGGTTTATCCTCCGAAATTTTAAAATTAGGAATATTAGATTGCGCCTCTACAACATGTACGTTAGACATGGTTTGGAATACTGTTCGTCTTTACTTAGCCTCATGCGTGCTACTGAGCGGAAGAAAATATAATCCGTTCACCACTTTTTTACCAAGAGAATTTTTACCCCGGAACACCGACATTTGTCTCACCAAGAACGTTGCCGGCTAAGAGGCCTTGATCCTTAATGGTTCCGTAGATTACAAAAGGGACTCTTTTTGCTATTTAAACTCTTATATAATCACACATTTAACTCACTCACCTCTTTAAGATATCATATCCACCCACGACGTAACAGTCACCGTGAGGTCTTTTTATTTCTGCCTCTGGCACGTACTGTTAAATATATTCGGTTCTATTCTGTAAATGCAATTGCTATTTGGAATAAACTAACCATGAGTGTGAAAACTCTGCAAAGTTATCCTTTATTTAAGAGAACTATTACTCGATTTTCGCACTCAGAAAAGCTCCAACAAATTTTGGGTGCTGAATCCACTGATCGACTCTAACGTAGCGATGGCGTTAGTGGTCTCTGAACACTATGGCCTGCCTCACCGTGGACAATTTCGTTGGCCAACATCGACAGCTTTTCCTCAGCGCCTCTACTTTTACTATCTCCAACTTCATGAAAGGAATTGACGTCCGATAATTTCCGATACCGTGCAACCCTCTCCCCTCCCTTATTGACGGTCGAAAATCAACCACCAGCAGTTTTTTCTCCTTAACCCTCCAAATCATAAAAACCACCATCAACTTTATTTTTATTCCTTTACCTCAGGAGTTTTTTTCACTGCTGGTCGGATTTGTGTTTAATCGCTTCCCTTGACAATGCCTGTAAACTGCCATTTAATAAATTATTATTATTATTAAAAGGCAGCCAATAGTGCAATAGGGGTGTAAGCTGCGCTAATGCGAGGAGTTGTGCAGATCGACAAAGAGCTCTTTGGAAAAGCCTGTGGGCATTCGTCCGGTCTCACTTAGAGTATGCAGTTCAGGCCTGTAGACCGTGGTTAAAGATAGACTATCAACGACTGGGAAGAGAACAGGCGATGGATAAGAAGACAGTCAAGAATATTAATCATCTGCCTTACGAAACCAGGCTGACCGAACTAAATCTGTTTCCTATCAATTGCAGGCAACTGCGGGGCGATCTCATTCAAACCTACAGGATTGTCCGAAGCCGTGAGTGTGCTCTAGACTTAGATGAATTCTTCTTATTGGCCGGGACTGACCGTCTGCGTGGTCATCCCTTCAAACTGCAGAGGATGCTGGCTAATTCAGACATCCAACGGAACGCCTTCTCCCACAGGGTTATTGGGGCATGGAACGGACTCCCTGATGCGGTGGATCTTTCCAAATCTGTCGAATCCTTTAGGGGTAGATAAGATGTTCATTTGTTGAGAAACTGCTCTACATATATTGGCGATTGTTGGATCCGGGCGGCAAAGACGATGCAGGAGCTGCGGTGGCGTCCAGAGGGCGTCCTCTGGTCCATAGATAATTGGAGTCAGTCCTCCTCGGTTTTTGTAGGGCCTCCAAACGACTTGGATAGGTTAACATAATACTAGACCAATGGGTATGCGCAAATCAATTGCAAGAATACTAGAAAGTAGATTGTAGCCAATGGGATCTTCGGAACCGTTTTTGTTTACATTCTGGCTTAAAATAGTCCCTACAGTATCGCCGATAGTCAAACCGAAATAGCCAATGGAAGAACCTCTTTTGGGAGTGCCCATACTTCCAAAAACAAGAGCTAGCCAATTAATGGAAACCACATGCTTTTGCCCCCTCTACAGCGCTGTCATCTTAATCAGGCGTCTCTTCATTGGCTACTTCCCTATTCTCGAGGGTCATTGGGTCGAATGCCGGTGAACCACAGTAGGGCGTTATAAATACGCGTCATTCCTCAGCTAGTCGCAGCTTGCAGTGATTTGCTAATACACTTTCCGTGACCGGCCGGGTTTCATTTTTCTGCCGCCTTGGTATTGGAGACAGGGGTCGAGTGCGTATACGCTCCATGGGATTTCAAATACCAGGCGGGTCATAATAGCCTCGTAGCTCAGGTGGTTATAGCATTGGCTGTGGTAAAACCTCCCCTGGCCTTCATGGGTTCGAATCCCACTGAGGCACCGAGTTTTTCACAGTTGGGTCAAATTGAGTCGTTTGAAATCCGCCAAAACGCATCTGGAATAATTTTTTTAAATTTTTGATGCTTCCGTTTCCAAATTGTTGATCCATTTTCGTCGCTTGTAACAAGTAAGGAGTTGAAGGTTACGACCCCTACACTTCCTGCAAATAAACCGAGTGAAACGGAAAGGCTTACCCTAGATGTCACTTTGTCATTCGCGTACAATTTTTCCGATCCTTTACGGTTTTCATATAGGGATAAACTTTGTGCCATAAAGGGTGTTGCTCAAAAATGGCTAGACAGTGTTTGCCACAGGTATGCATGGGCATTTCTTGACAACTGTTCTCCTTTCAATACTAACCCGTAACATATTCCTAGCGATACATGTCGGTGCGACTCCCCTGGCCGGGTTGTTTCTACGCTACAGATTATTTTTCTTTCTACACTCAATTTATCCTGTCTGGCATGCGGAAATTGAGCATCCTTCCTAGTGACTGCAAAGTTCTTTAAGGTCTGACTTTATCCACTGGACTCTTCTCACATCGCAATGATAACGTGAGATGGCTCAGTGACTACGTTTATATTAATAAACTGACATTATGGTTTTTGGCTACCCGAATAAGAATAAACTCACCTCCTGTTTCTAGAGGATGGTTTAGATTATATCTCTGCATTGACAATGAACGATGGCCTCCTACTAAATAAAGCGAAATCAGTCATGGCGTGTTTTCCGACCGCAACCCATCCATTCCTGAATGCTTTGACATTCGTCCCAAATAAGTGCCGTCCTTCCGGCATTTGCTGCTACTCTGCCTATTAATCTCCCATTCCTCATTTATACTCTTATTCGTGTACTTTCTCATTACATTTGTCGCTCTCATCCTAATCACACACCTCAACCCTTAATGCAGACATTTATGTACGCCCGCATTATTTGTCTCATTCTTCCTTGTCCTGCGGTTATCTTTCCTGCTTTGATTTAAAAATATATACTCATTTTAAAACATATCCCTAAAATAATGTCATTTGCTGCGGATGCTTCCTATGTGTTTTTGCTAATATCGTAACACGACGAAAGTCCACAACGTGTAACCGATTTTCCGACCGAATTCTGAATGTAATTGTTTATCACCCTCACCCTGAATTAATTGGTACGAAGTCTTTCAGTTCCGAGCATTGTCGCTTCCGCCATATTCCTGGCCATATGTCGTCATACAAAAATTTCCCTTTGCAAATTCTGGCAAGACAATCTACACATTAAGAGACTGAAGTATGGAATATGAGAGTCGATCTGCCTCCGTTATAGTCATGTAATTCTATTGAAATCCACTTACTCTCTCATGATCAGCTAATTAACATTCTGGTAGAGGTAATGTGAGGATGTTTTTGCTAAAAATTTTTAAAGTATACTTTTTAAATACAAAGAATTATACCTTCGATTTACTGATAATCCACCTTTTCCAGGACTTAAACATTCAGTTCATAAAAATTACGCCGCCAAAAGCTATTTGAATGAGAACATTTATTACAGTTCCGTGTTGTTCCTGTATTTTAAATGCCACCCAAGTGCTAAATGGCTCCGTTGGCAATTAAGACGATGAACAAACAAAAACCCACACTGAACGAGAAGCCTTCTCGTCCGACCCAACTTTGATCCTCTTCCAGTTTACATTGCTCATCCTGGGCCTAATCTCAAACTTGTCACTAAACCAGCCGCAAAAGCAAACTAACCACATATTCAGCCCTGCCTTTAACCAGGAATCTTACTCTAATTTTGGCCTGAGTTTACTCAGGCAGTAATCCAACATTAACACTGATGTTCATCTAGTCCAATACCTTATACAAATATTTACCGAAGTATTTATAACCCAAAAGATACCATAGCTGTCACGTTTATATGCAGAGTTTATCAACAGATAAAAAAACGCAAATACGAAGTTCCGTAATCACCATATTTTTTTGTTAAGTTACAGGGCAGTCCTAATAATGCTGCGCATTCAATATTGATATTGCTCGCGAAATTCACATCATACCAATATTCACGCCAGCCTACCTGTATTTGGATTGGTTGACTTCCTCCTAACGCCAAGGTGCAATTTCTGAGTAGTCCGCCGATTTACGTAAGGACTAGTTTCGTATGTTTGCAAAAGGTCAAAAATAATAAAATGAATGATAATTATGCGATAAAACAATTCATAGTTGCAACTACACATACTCCAGGAAATATAATGCTGTTTCTCGGCGCCATAAATATTATTGACAATTGTTACTATGATAAGTGGTATTTAATTAGATGAAAACGTTTGCCCTGTCGCAGGCTCGTTAGATCTAAGATTCTGACGCAATCACGTTTCTGCATGTATTACTTTTCCATTTCATCGTTAATTTTGGGGTTTAGGAGAACATATTAAGTATGACTTTTAAAAGGGCAAATTTTGGCACCCGAGATTATACTTTTGCGCATGCACTTAAAATAAACGCCAATAATGAGAATGCCAATTCGTGAAGGCGACGCGTTCATCGGATCAAAAACTTTCTTGGTCCGATATATAGGATTCCCACTCGAATTCATCATCGCAGACAGAGTCTAATAAGGTTGGAAAATTGTCCAGTATTTATAGGATTTATTTGCTAGGCCGCTACATGCCGATCGCATTCGGCAGCTCCCGAAGCAGAAATCCTTGCTAGAGGTAACAACCGCGTGAGCCGATAATTTCTCTTGGCAAAGTAGTTAACCGCGAGGACAGCGTGCGGATGACCGCTCTTCATAGTGTCAATGTCGGCGAATCAAACCGTCCATGAGCCCACACAGATAACGAAAGCCGGGCGCCAGCAACTCGACTACGCGCGATGAGCATGCGAATCGATAATCTTGACCGGCACACAAGAACATAGCAACTGCACAGCGGCTACATGCTTCAACGCCTGGCTAGTCGAGCTGTGATGCACTCGGGAACTGCCAACAGCGATAGGCATGTAGCGGCCTGGCAAGTACATCCTATAAATATTGCAACACTTGGGCAATTTACCACCCATATCAGACTCTGTCTCTTTTGATGGACTCAAGTGAGAATCTGAAGCGTCAGGCTACTAAAGCACTTGTTCCAGCGATCGTGTCTCCTTCTTCGCGACTTCTTCCCGAACTCTCCTCTTCGCCGTTATTAGCAAACGCCGATTCGTTTATTTTTTTAATCCAAACACAACCAGGCGTTGATGGATCATAATCTTCAGTCAACAAGAAGTTATGCATTCAATTGTGAGCGAATGCTTTTCATCATAGAATTATAGTGGTCACATCTTCTATTGTTCTTTAAGAAGACAAATGAGTCGGCGTGATGTCAGGGTCAAGCAAACTCACAAACCGCCACACGCTGACACCAAGTCTACTTACCACACTACTTACGAGTTCTCTTGTATTACTGTTCATTTCTTCAACTATACAAAATACGAAAGTGCTCTTTTTGTCGTATATCGTTCCTTTTCACACAAAACGCAAAAGAAATAAGGTTGTTCTTTAGCGCTAGTTCATTTACCTACCTTTAAGTCATTAAGGTAGAATGGCATTACCGACAATTCAAGGGAGGCTGCAACGGCCATTTATGACCTACTAGTTGTAGTCAGGCAGATTATGCACTGCCAAATATAAAATCGCTTAGAGAATTTTCTTTCTGATTTACAGCACTCTAATCATAAGAAAGTTTGCAGTTCAAAGTCCGCGGTTTGCAGCCGCCTGGGTAGGAGGTAGACTTGGAATGTAGGAGCCTCCAGGTCGAAAGCACATGTTACGAGCGTAGTAAGTCACATCAGTTGCCTCCTGCAGATGGTGTTTGCATCACACGGACCTTAATTATAGTGGTATTGTATAGATGGGGTGTACGGGTGTCAGCGGTGGGTTCACGTAATGGTCGTGGTGGTCGCTCACTTGCTTGCAGGTGAGACTGCGCCTAGCGTCTACTTGCTGGCACTTAACTCTCACCTGTGGCTCCACGTAACTGGACTCTGCTCAGTGGCCACACCCCGGGCAACCGTCTCGACCGGCGGGCTTAACCAGGTGAGGGGGCCCTGTGCGCTGTGCCGTGTGCACAGGGTTTGAGGATTCCGTTGGATGGAAGGTCGGATGGAACCTTGCGTCGGCACGGTCGTGACGTGGTTCGTCACGCCGACGAAGACCGCGGCTTACGGCGAATTCGAGTCGCTCTCCACTACAACCCGAAGTCGTGGTCCCATAGTGGAGTTCGGCCGTGCCACAGCGGCACATGGCAGCCCTATTCAGGGATGGCACTGCCAGTCCCCACGAGGGGAAGGGCCTAGAAAAGGTGGCCTAAACATTGCTGGGTACCACGCCGTCTCCAGGCTAGCCAGGGCCGCAGACGTCTAATCATGGTCGAAACAATCAGACTGGAAACATCAACAATACCAATAACAACAACAACCATACTCCTTCTCCTCATCCTACCTCTTCTTCCTCTACCTCCGTCTATTCTTCTGCCTATTCTTCTCCTTCGTCATCTTCTTCTCCACCTCCTTCCCGTCGCCCCACTCGTTGTCACCAGACTGGCAGGGTGAGCCCGCTCACTCTGGCAGCCTGGAATGTTCGTTCCCTTTTAGACAATCCGAGGAGCAACCGACCGGAGCGGAGGACGGCGCTAGTGGCACGAGAACTGGCGCGCTACAAGGTGGACATCGCCGCACTCAGCGAGACCCGTTTCTCCGAACAAGGCCAACTGGAGGAGGTGGGTGCCGGCTACACCTTCTTCTGGAGCGGTCGACCCAGGGCAGAGCGACGGGGCGCGGGTGTCGCCTTCGCCATCCGGAACGACATCGTGGGACGACTGCCCTGTTTGCCGCAGGGCATCAACGATCGCCTGATGAGCCTCCGCCTGCCTCTCTGGGGAGGCAAATTCGCCACCATCATCAGCGCCTACGCTCCGACGATGACCAACCCCGACGCCGTCAGAGACAAATTCTACGAGGACCTGCACACCCTCTTGGCGACTGTGTCGAAGGCGGACAAGTTGATTGTCCTTGGCGACTTCAACGCCCGCGTCGGCACAGACCATACTGCCTGGAAAGGTGTGCTGGGTCCCCACGGTCTCCGCGGCTCAAACGACAATGGTCTGCTGCTTCTCCGCACCTGCGCAGAACACCGCCTCATGCTGACGAACACGTTTTTCTGTCTGCCGGAGCGAGAGAAGGCCACCTGGAGGCATCCTCGGTCTCGCCAGTGGCACCTGCTGGACTATGTCCTCGTCCGGAGGCGAGATCAGCGGGAGGTGCTGGTGACGAAGGCAATCGCGGGAGCTGATGGGTGGACCGACCATCGCCTCGTCATCTCGAAGATGCGTATTCGCCTACAGCCTCGCAGGAGACCACAAGGTAAGCGACCCCCAGGTAAGCTAAATGTTGCCTTGTTGTCTTTGCCCGCTCACCATCTCCATTTCAGCAATGAGCTAGCTCAACGGCTAGACAACCTTCCTATCGCTGCCGCCGACGACGCCGCCGCTGCCGAGAACGCCTCCGTGGAGAACCGCTGGTGTCAACTGCGAGACACGGTCCAGTCGACGGCGCTCGCCGTCCTCGGTCGCGCTCCCCGCCAACACCAGGACTGGTTCGACGACAACGAAGCCGCCATCAGAAATCTGCTAACTGAGAAGAACCGCCTACACAAAGCCTACGTAGATCACCCCACTGATGCCACCAAAGCTGCCTTCTACCGCAGTCGCCGCCAACTTCAGCAACGACTGCGCGAGATGCAGGACGCCTGGACTGCTCGCAAAGCTGAGGAGATCCAAGGGTACGCGGACCGCAACGAATGGAAGAAATTTTTCTCTGCGATCAAAGCTGTCTACGGTCCGCCGACGAAGGGCACCGCTCCTCTCCTCAGCGCCGACAGCAACACTCTCCTGAATGAGAAGACGCAAATCCTGCAGCGATGGGCCGAGCATTTCCGTGGCGTCCTCAAGCGCCCCTCCGTCATCTCCGACGCCGCCATCGAGCGTTTGCCGCAAGTGGAGACCAACGTGCACCTCGACCTCCCGCCATCTCTCCAGGAGACCATCAGGGCCGTGCAGCAGCTCTCCAGCGGGAAAGTACCCGGATCGGACGCAATCCCTGCTGAGGTCTACAAGCACGGAGGTCCCCAACTGATGGATCACCTGACTGCGCTCTTCCAAGAGATGTGGCGTCAAGGTGAAGTCCCGCAAGATTTCAAAGACGCAACCATCGTGCATCTCTACAAGCGCAAAGGGAATCGCCAAGTCTGCGACAATCACCGCGGCATCTCCCTGCTGAACATCACTGGGAAGATCTTCGCACGAATCCTCCTCAACCGCCTCAATAACCATCTGGAACAGGGCCTTCTGCCGGAAAGCCAATGCGGCTTCCGTCGTCATCGTGGGACCACGGATCTGATCTTCGCCGCCCGTCAACTTCATGAGAAGTGTCAGGAGATGCGGACCCACCTGTACTCTACCTTCGTGGACCTGACGAAAGCCTTCGACGCGGTGAATCAGAAGGACTGTGGAAGATCATGCAGAAATTTGGCTGTCCAGAGCAATTCACTCAGACGGTATGATGGCGCGAGTCACGGACAACGGATCTGTCTCAGAGGCATTCGCAGTGACTAACGGAGTGAAGCAGGGATGCGTGCTGGCACCAACCCTCTTCAGTCTTATGTTCTATGCCATGCTGATAGACGCCTACCGCGACGAACGTCCCGGGATCCGCATCGCCTACAGGACGGACGGTCACCTCCTGAATCAACGGCGGATGCACTTCAAATCGCGTGTATCCACAACCACCGTGCACGAACTCCTCTTCGCCGACGACTGCGCCCTGAACACCACCTCGGAAGAAGAGATGCAACGGAGCATGTACCTGTTCTCCGCCGCCTGCGAGAACTTCGGTCTGGTCATCAACACGCAGAAGACGGTGGTGATGCACCAACCGCCACCCAACTCATCCACAGCCCCCAACGCGCCGCCGTAAATCAGCGTGAATGGGACCCAACTTCAAGTGGTGGAGAACTTCCTGTACCTGGGCAGTACTCTCTCCCGCAACACCAAGATCGACGACGAAGTCGCCATCAGGATCTCGAAAGCCAGTCAAGCCTTCGGTCGCCTCCAAAGCACAGTTTGGAATCGTCATAGTCTCCAATTGAGCACGAAGCTGAAGATGTACAAGGCTGTCATCCTGCCGACGCTACTGTATGGAGCGGAGACTTGGACGGTGTACGCAAAGCAGGCACGTAGTCTGAACCACTTCCACCTCAGTTGTCTTCGTCGCATCCTGAGGCTGAACTGGCAGGATCGAATCCCCGACACTGATGTGCTGGAACGGACGGGAATCCTCAGCATCTACGCCATACTGAGGCAAATTCAGCTGCGCTGGAGCGGCCACCTGCTGCGTACGGACAACGAGCGACTACCCAAACGACTCTTTTACGGAGACGTCGCGACGGGTTCTCGTCGTCAAGGAGGCCAGATTCGTCGTTACAAGGATACCCTGAAGTCCTCCCTGAAGCGTCTGCAAATCAACCCGACCAGCTGGGAAGAGCTTGCACTCGATCGACCGACCTGGAGGAAGACAGTGAAGACAGGCGCTGCGATCTTCGAAGCCAACCGCATCGCTGTCGCCAAGGCGAAACATGAAGCCCGCAAATCCCAACTTCGCCCAGTACGCAACGCCGCCGCACAATCGCTTCCAACGTGTCCTCGATGTCAACGAACATTCCGGGATCGAATCGGACTTGTTGGACATCTTCGGATTAACTGCGCCTCTCGAACGGCACCAACCATCGTCCCCCTGCCTGTCTCTTCCTCCTCCTCTCCGCCGCCAACTAACTCCGACAATTCTTCTGACCCACCACTTCCATCATCATCCTTCTCCTCCTCCTCCTCCTCCTCCTCCTCCTCCTCCTCCTCGCCCACTGCTCCAACGGCGGCCGCTCAGGCGACTGTCCCCCGCACAGCAACCGACACTATCACCACCTCCCCCGACTCCAGGGATGAGGATCAGGACTACACCTCACTGCGACCGTACCTTCACCTTACACACCGGCCTGGTCGGTCACTTGCGAATCCATCG